GGCACTTTTTGTGCGGCCCATGCAGACACTGAACTGTGTTTCACTATTGACTTATTATAGCAATGATTACTAGCAGTCTCCAACAACTCCTATAGCATGTTCACAGTCTCTGAAAGTTTCCTGGAGCATGCCTGCAGTCTCTGGCCATCTCCTGTACCATGTCCATATTCTCTGATCATATATTGTGTTATGTCCACAGCTTTTGACCATCTCCTATACCCTGTCCACAATCTCCAACCATCTCCTGTAGTATGTTTACAGTCTTTGACCATCTCCTGTACCATGTCCACAGGATCGGATCATCTCTTTTATCATGTCCACAGTCTATGGCCATCTCCTGTATTAAGACCACAGTCTCTGAAATCTCTTGTATCATGACCATAGTCATTGACTATTTCTTGGTGTGTGTTTGCTGTCTCTGTCATTGAATATACATTGAGTTTTATGGGCAGCCCTTTGGTGATGTCAGGGTTTGCACATGAAAGATGATTATCACTACTCTAGGCACCAATAAATTAAAGGTATGATGTGATTTGGTGCAAGACTTAGAAGTAAGGAACAGCAGAAATATGATATCCAAACATTTGCAGCAGTGGAAGCAGTAGAAATGTTTGTGAAGCTTGCAGCAAATCTAAGGACAGGAAATGTTAGGCTCTCCCACAATACTGTTTCTATTTGTTAAGACATGTTTGAATTAGACGATGATAGTGATGTTGCAATGATGTTCACTGACTGAGAATAATGAGAAGGGTGGTAAATTTGATGAGAAGGCTTAACCACAGTATTACCAAAAAGACAGCATTAAAAAGTTCTGGAGTTGGTGATATTGGCATAACCTCTCACTCTTAGGCCTCATGTACGTTGCTGTTCCTAAACATGAGTTTAGGAGCTTTTGGTGGGTTTTTTTGCCAAAGCCCCTAAACTCAACTCAGTAAAAGCCTATGTTTCCATGCACATGTAGGCTATTACCAGAGTTTAGGAGTAGCAGAATTTAGGGGCAGCTAAATGTTCCTCTCCTGAATGCAAAAGAATCGCTTTCAGGAGAGGAACATTTTAGCCAAAAAAAATGCCAAATGCAGAAAAAACTCATGCAAATGCGCATAAACTCATGTTAACACCTAAATGCTAGCTGCATTTAGCATTTGGGCATTTATTAATGTCAATGGAAAGTACTTTGGCCAATGAAATGAAAAAAAAATGTCCAAGTGTTGAACGTGGAAGAATACGGTACTGCGTTTCCACATGTTTTTGCCATGTTTAGCGTATTTCTATTGCCATGTCTAGGGGAGTTCCACTGTACATGTAGCCTTAGGGCTCCAGCCACAAGAGATTGGGACAGGGATGGTATAGCATTTTGTTCTATACATTTTCCATATTACATATACATGGTATACACTCATCAGCCACTTTATAAGGTACACCTTGTTAGTACTGGGTTGAGCCCCCTTTTGCCTTCAGAACTGCCTTAATTCTTCATGGCATAGATTCAACAAAGTGTTGGAAACATTCCTCAGAGATTTTGGCCCATATTGAAATGATAGCATCACGTAGTTGCTGCAGATTTTTCAGTTGCACATCCATGAACCATTGATACAAGGCAGGATGGATCCATACTTTCATGTTGTTTAAGCTAAATTCTGACCCTACCATCTGAATGTTGCAGCTGAAATCGAGACTCATCAGACCAGGCAACATTTTTCTAATCTATTCTAATTCTTTTCTATTCTAATCTTCTATAGTCCAATTTTGGTGAACCTGTGTGAATTGTAGCCTCTGTTTCCTGTTCTTAACTGACAGGAGTGGCACCTGGTATGGTCTAATGCTACTGTAGCCCATCTGCTTCAATGTTTGATGTGCAGTGCATTCAGAGATGGTATTCTGCATACCTTGGTTGTAACAAGTGGTTATTTGAGTTACTGTTGCCTTTCTATCATCTTGAACTAATCTCATTCTTCTAATGACCTCTGACATCTAAAAAGTATTTTCGTCCATGCAACTGCTTCTCACTGGATATTTTCTCTTTTTTGGACCACTCTCTGTAAACCCTAGAGATGGTTGTGCGTGAACATTCCAGTAGATCAGCAGTTTTGGAAACACTCAGACCAGCCTGTCTGGCAACAACAACTATCCCACGTTCAAAGTCACTTAAATCCCCTTTCTTCCACATTCTGATGCCCAGTTTGAACTTCAGCCACATCTAGATGTGTCACCAAGCAATTGAACAGGTAGTCCTAATAATGGCTGGTGAGTGTATATTGTTATGATACAAAGGCTTTACCGTGGCAATAAAAAAAAAACAGATATGGACCCCTGGCTCAAAACCATCACAATTCATCCTGTGGTAGAAAGACAATGATCAACAATACCAAACTCAGTTGCCTGGCTAAACCCTACCACACATCGTCTGCTGCTGCTACTGTTGTCTTTTGATAGCCAGCCCAATTCTGGCCCAGAGTCATTTATATTCTACAGCAGGAATAGTGAAGAAAGAGGAAAAGAAGGTACACATTGGATTATTTTCATTATCAGCCTCCCCCCATCCAGCATGGTATCCTTTTAATTTTTCCTTTTATTCCTCCCTACCAGCTCCAATCATTTATCATAGTGTCTTTCTATGGATACGTGGATAGCCAAGTTGCTTGTGGTGAATTCATTACTATACCAGTTAGTAAACACCATATCTCATAGAAAATTCATGAAGTGTACTCATCTTTACTGTATGATTCTTGGCCTTTACTAACCGGCAGTGATTATTTATTTTTATTACAGGTCAATTAACGCAGCACTTTACATATATTTTGTGCATATTGTACATTCACATCAGTCCATAACCCTCAAGGAGCTTACAAGGTCTAACTCACATTCATACATACACATACTATGGCCAATTTAGACAGGAGCCAATTATGCTACCAGCATATCTTTAGAGTGTGGGAGAAAATCCACATATGCACAGGGAGAACATGCAAACTCCATGCAGGTAGTGCCGTGGTTGGGATTTGAACCAACAACCCTAGTGCTGCCAAGCAGAAGTGCTAACCACTAGCCACTGTGCTGCCCATGGTGCTCTATAACACTAAGGATGGAAAGTGGAGCTGGTAAGTCCACCATGAATGGCCAGGATAAATTCTGGCACCTGTCCATCTTTTCTGCACCATGGATGTCTCATGGATATTTCTCCATTCTTCTATAGCGACACAACAAACTCTGCATCTCCTTCACCTCCCACACATTTAAAGTAAAATGCTATGCCATTTTTCTGCTGATGAACCTGTGAGAATCCACACAGAGGGTGATTTGCTGTCCCTTATACTGTGTTAAATCACCCATTTGCTTTAACTCCATCTTCTGAAACTGGCAATGTGTTGAGAAAGGAAAATAAAGACATGGAACTGCATTTGAAGAAACTCACATACTCCCTGCTGTTACAAAGATAAACCACCCTTCTTTTTGCAGGTTGAGCTGCAATATTCTGACTTTGTAGAACTACACCTAAATTTCAAGTAATTGTGAATAGATTTTATTATGCATACTTACTATCTATCTCATTACTTGTCAGCATAAGTTTTACTAAACTGGATCTATTCTGCTCAGAAAAAGTTTGTTGCTGTAAAGGAATTGTACATGCATAGCATGTTGGGGTTAGTTGTCACAGCAAGCAAAATCTGAACATATCTATAACTGTTAACATTACTAAAAAGTACATTTTCATCTTGCTTCTCAGCCAAAGAATTGTAGATGGTTATACAGAATAATGCTTCAGACAGCTTAAAATCACTTTTAGGCCGCTGCGGTTGGTTTTTTTCACTGTAGGTGGCACTCGATCTGAGCCTGGAGAGATAGTCAAAGGGTAACACCGTTTCTCTATGGTTTCCAGGGTCAATGAAGCAGCATTCCGGTTGGCTATGCTGCAGCCATATGACTCTTGGTGGCCATCTTGGGTCAGCAAGAACTGTATAAGTCCCTGCCCCTGGGTTTTGGAACGCATTATGCTATTGGCTAGTGTAGAGAGAGACTCCATTTGTTATTGAAAGCAACTATCGGTAGGGAAAGCTTCCTGACAAGAAGAGAAAGACTAGGGATTTGTTACCTGGGAAGACGCCTCCCTATTTGGGACCAGACTAGCCAGGCCACACTGTAACCTCTGAAACAGATGCGGTCGGCACCTCTCCTTAGCTATGTCTTTGACTGCATTGAACTGTGAATTGTTTCCCTAAGCAACACTCTCCCACTAGGGTGTTTTCATGTTGGCATTCTGCTCAATACAAGTTTCAAGTTTTATTGCAACCAAACTGTTTTTACTGCTGCCGCACCATGCTGCACCTCTGCACACACTACATACCAGTTATGAAATGTTGAGGTGTAAGTAATTTTGTGAAATGGTGCTCTACAATTAATACCAACATAGAAATTAAGAGAACTACACTATATTTCCAAAAGTATTGGAATGCCTGCCTTTACACGCATATAAACGTTAATGGAATCCCAGTCTTAGTCCGTAGCGTTTAGTATATACTCAGTTGGCCCACCCTTTGCAGCTATAACAGCTCTTCTGGGAAGGCCATCCACAAGATATAGGAGTGTGTCTATGGGAATGTTTGACCATTCTTCTAGAAGTGCATTTGTGAGGTCAGGCACTGATGTTGGATGAGAAGGCCTGGCTCACAGTCTCTGCTCTAATTCATCCCAAAAGTGTTCTATCGGGTTGAGGTCAGGACTCTGTGCAGGTCAGTGAAGTTCCTCTGCCCCAAACGCACTCATCCATGTCTTTGCTTTGTGCACTGGTGCACAATCATGTTATAATAGGAAGGGGCCATCCCCAAACTGTTCCCATGAAGTTGGGAGCATGAAATTGTCCAAAAGGTCTTGGTATGCTGATGCCTTATGGAACTAAGGGGCCAAGCCTAACTCCTGAAAAACCATAATCCCCCCTCCACAAATCTTTACACTTGGCACAATGCAGTCAGGCAAGTACCATTCTCCTGGCAACTGCCACTTTGTGGGCGAGTTGCTGTTGTTCCCAGTTGCTTCCACCTTGTTATAATACCACTAACAGTTGACCGTGGAATAGTAGCAAAGAAATTTCACGGATGGCCATTTTTCACAGATGGCAACCTATCACAGTACCACTCTTGCGTTCACTGAGCTCCTGAGAGTGACCCATTCTTTCACAAATGTTTGTAGAAGCAGTCTGCATGCCTAGGTGCGTGATTTTATAATCTGAGGAAGAGGCAAGTCCTCGAAACGCGTCAGCCTTTTGGATGTCTAAACTCCCTATTGCGGACTGTTACTCAGCGCGGTAATTGACCCAGCTGTTCTTTTATGATGTGCCTTGACTATATTGTCGTTTGTGAGTACAACACCTACTTTATTTTTTATTAAACATTTTTTATGGTAATGCACTAGGCCTGTGCGCCCTCTCTTTGTTCTTTCCCCATTCAGTATATTTGGATTCCCCCGGTCCATTTGAGGGCAGCAAGGTGTGCATGTTCCAGGACATTCTTAATGTGGTTGTAGCCTGCATCGAGTCCATCCCCAAGCGCAGGAGCATTTGTGTTTGCGTGATTTTATATACCTGTGGCCATGTAGGTGATTGGAACACCTGAATTCAATGATTTGGAAGGGTGTCCGAATACTGTTGGCAATATAGTGTATATTAATGTAAAGACATGGACTCCTTTTTAAGGTCCTTTATATTTCTTATCTCGTATTTAGTCATTTTGCTTTATGCTTAGTCAATATTTGCACCCTGTCTTGCACCATAATGCCATGTCAGTTCGGTCTCACATAAGTGTTTGTTCCTGTACATCCTTAATTTGTGCTACCAACCTTCCTCTTTTAGTATATAGCAGGAGTATGTTTTGTAGTAAATTCGGAGGGCCTCTAAAAACCAATAGAAATTTCAAGAGGCGTGTCCAAGATGGCGACCGGACGAGTCGCATGACCTGGAGCTCCGGCGGCTCGATATATGCTCCACTGGCATCCAGGTCGTATGAGAGGGTAGGGTTGAGCGGGTTACTCACCCGTCCCTGCTACGTTGCGGCCGGGCAGCCGGAGGCGCTTTTGGAGCCGTTCTGGGGTGGCGATCCGGTGCGGCCTGTTGCGGCCGAGTGGAGCCGCGGAGCCCTCTGGCGCATGACGGGCCGGTCAGCGGTGGTGTGACGGTGGGTGCAGGATCGGGAAGGGGGAGGACTGATGACCCCCACCTCCCGCTCGTTCTGTGGTCTGCTGCCTGTCATCCCTCCGAGCCGTTCTGGGGTGGCGATCTGGTGCGGCCTGTTGCGGCCGAGTGTGGAGCCGCGGAGCCCTCTGGTGCACGACGGGCCGGTCAGCGGTGGTGTGAAGGTGGGTGCAGGATCAGGAAGGGGGAGGACTGATAACCCCCCCTCCCGCTCGTTCTGTGGTCTGCTGCCTGTCATCCCTCCGTGCCTGTCAGAACGTCCTGGAGGAGCATCCTGATCACCTTCCCTCCCCCCCATATGGGATACAGGTGTGGCGAGGATTAATGCGGCCTAGTGGGCCCAGGACCTTTCCCACCCTACACAGGCTGGCTGCAATCACACCCAAAGGAGGATCACTTGCCTAGCACGCATACCTCATCCCTCAGACAACTACCGGCATTCCGGAGTCCATCGAGACATCCCCCACACAAACCCAGGGAAACCGGCTTATTGCGGAGACCTTGCTACAGCCCATAAAAAAAAGGAAGCTGTGCTGAGATTAGGCTTACGGACGTTACATCACCCACAGATTCATATACAGGGAAGGCAGCGATAGTCACTGCATTTCCACAGCAAAATAAGTGTCTTCCTTGTCTCGCCTTTAATCTCAAGCACGTGGAGACGTACAGTACAACCTAGGGCTTGTTTTCCACTATCTATCCCTATTTTCACTTTCTAGTTTTGGGGGACACAGTCTGACCCCAGAGAAAATGGTAATATAATTCCTTGAGCCTTGACACACGTAGGTGGGGCTACGCAATCAGAATCAAGAGTCGCTGCCGACATGGGGAAAGCAGATAAAGAAGGCTGTCACTCCTCGCTCCAGATCCCCTCGCCGTACAGGTGGTCCGGCTAATCGCAGCATTCCGGAATTATTTCGATCTCACACTCCGGATCACGCGGATTCATCCGCCCTTGCATCCCCATTGCATTCGCCTGCAAAGGAGTTCTCTTCTCAGCCTTTGAGCATGGCGGCGGCTGCCGCAGCGGGTCGTTCTGAACCTGCTCACCTCACCATAGGAGACTTGAAAGCGGTTGCGTCGGATATCAAAGAGTCTCTTTTCCTCGGCAATAGCTGAGCTACACATTGACTTACAGGCAGTAGCCTATAGGCTGGACATGGTAGAAGATAAAGTTAATATGCAAGGCCTTGCTATCCATGATATGCGTAAGCAGGTTGACACACACACCATGCACCTAAGAGAACTCGATCGTCACATCGAAGATTTGGATAATAGGGGAAGAAGACACAATTTAAGGGTGCGCGGTGTACCAGAAGCAATTGAGCCTAGCCACCTTGCCCAAACTCTTCTCTCCATCTTTAATGATCTTTTAGAAAGACCACATGAATCTCCAATTGAGTTTGAACGCCTCCACAGGGCTTTGCGTCCTAAAGGCAGAGATTCTGACCCACCGAGAGATATAGTTTGCTGTCTAGTCGACTTCCGACTTAAAGAGGACATATTACGCAGAGCTCGAGATAAACAACGCTTGTTATACCAGGATTCCGAAATTAAACTATTCCAAGATCTTTCCCATCTTACCCTACAACGCAGGAAAGACCTACGCCCTTTACTAGATCTACTTCGCTCTAAAGGTATCGCCTACCGTTGGAAGTTCCCGTTTGGTCTCTCTGCAACACATTTGGGGAGATCAGCTCTCATGAGGTTTCCGGAGGATCTTGCACCATTCTGTGAAATCTTGAGTATCCCATTACCTGACATTCCAAATTGGTCCACTGAACCTTTTCTACAATCGCAGCCAGATGAAGGCCCTATGGAAGCACAATCTACTGGCCCCTCGAGCGGAGACAGACGACGCAAGTTAACACATCAAGCCTCAACTTCCCCGGTTCGTAGGAGGCTTATTACTGGAGACAGTCTACCAGCATCACCTGCACACCGCAAGGCGCGCCATGAATAACTTCTCCCCGTTACCACCTACTAAGGCGAAGGGGTATAAGCAACCCCGCACTTCGAGACTACTCCTCTAGTGGATCGAGTATGCGCTTCTCTTTGTATTCTAGGTTCCGTTATATGTCATATCTAACTTCTCTGGTATACCTGAAGTCTGGACTTGAGGGTATGTGTATCGTATCACGTTGTTAAAACTTTTACGTATATTATTTCTCAGTGATATATATTTGTCTTGCTGGCATATAATTGTTGTTGTACCCTCGGTTGTGGTATTGATGAGCTAGGTCAGGACAACCCTACTGATATTCTTGTGAATATCCTTACCAGTGCTACAATTTACTAGCGTGGTAAGTAAAGGCCCAACATAATACATGATGAACCCTGTCGGATATAGGAGCGAAAACGCGGTTGGGATCCAGAGATGCGGGCTAAGCCCTTGTTTGGGCTGCGGCCTGCCTCTCTGGATCCCACTATATTGAGAACGTGTTACAGGTGGTTGGGGAGTCTTTATGATCCTACTATTTGAATCTTACTATTATGGTCTTTGAAAGTTATATGTCATGTCTATCTCTCTATAAACTCTGATTCGCCTTGGGCCTAGCCTCTACACATATAGTTACTGTATTGACAGAGGATAGCAGCCCATAGGGCTTATTATTGCACGGAGAGGCGTATTTCGCTCCTACTGTATACTAAGACATGATGCTGTAATCTGGATTCCTGGGACTCCGGACCACCTTCATGTACCGTTATACATAAATATCTCTGACCCTTATCTTTTGGTTTGATCATTGTAAACAATATTTTAATAGTATTCTCGCACGTCCCCATCGCTCTCCTTAAATGGTTTGCGTACTGCATAGCAATGGGAAATGCCTCACTATGCAATTTGGGCCCTGGCTCATTACATACCTTCTACTTAGATATGATTAGGGTGCTATCTCAGCTATGGGAGTTGGGACCGTCATATTTGATATTTACGTTAACAGTCTATTCCGTGGTCGGGTCTAGTTTGGCCCCAAAAATTTAGCTGCTCTGATCAGTAACGGGATCATTTTGGGCCACGGATTTTTGGACACATCCCCCCCACCATCCTGTATCTGTTCGGTAAGCAACGGGGTGTTCAGCGATATATTACATCCCCGCGTTGGGTCTCATATTTCTATTGTCTCTAGAATACGGTTTAAGTAGAGGTTTGATCTGAGGCCTACACGCCAGTTTACTCATAAGTGATATTGTTGCTACTATCATGTAATGTTTCATGTGAAGTAGATATCTTTATTCGCAATTGAGATGGCATATGGAAATCTCTCGTTAGTTGACTTGGTTGTTTATTTAGCTTGGTTTACAACATCTTTACGGAAAAGACAGATTATAGATTGCATTATGTTTTACCCGTGATAACAAAACATATTTACAGTTAATTTAAGCTATGCGCAAGTGACTTGTACTTTCTCGGTATCTGTCCACATTCACATGTAATACTCTCATAACTTATGGGTTTTTTTTTTTTTTTTTTTTTTTTTTTTTTTTTTTTCTCTCTGGTACACATTCAATTCCACTCATATAGTTACACTTCACTGTTCTTGAGCTTTGATACGGTCCACGTGGATACATACACCATTTTGCTCTATATGCTTTGGCATTAGATACTCTAGCCTTTATCCACCCCCTGCTACACATTATTTATTTCTCGTCTTCAATGAGCCATTTCCCACCTACGTTTATGTGTCAAGGACACCTCATGTTAGATTACTTCCCCTCTACACCTTTTACTCAGGAGAGTTAGGCCTCTTTCAGATTATTCTGTATTTTATCAATCGGCCGTCTCTGGGTTTGAATACCCTCCGACTCTAATTTCAGACTCCCAGATAACATTTTGCAAATAACCAATTCTTGGAGAGCTGTACTATGAGATAGAGTAGCTGGTCTATTCTACCTCTGGAATATAATCTTTAAAGGAAGTGGAAGGGAAATAGCCTCATACATACATTTGGGTTTATGGGGCATACACCTAACACTTCCTTTCTTCTTCTTCAAATTTCTTGAATCTTTCCTTTATGATTCCGTCTCTATTTTAACTTTTCTGTTAATTCATACTAGTCTCTTTACAGTCTTTATACTATTCTTTACTCCCCTTTTCATCACCCCTGCCCCCCTCTACCCCCCCCCCCCCCCCCCTTTTTTTTTTTTTTTTTTTTTTTTTTTTTTTTTCTCCCCTACCCGCGTGATACTTTTCTGGTACACATATTGCCCTTAAGCAACCCTTTTGGGTAGATTACACAATGACGAACAACCACACATCGAATCGGTCAATTCGCACACTTTCCGTGGCCTCTCTTAACGCGAGGGGCCTAAACGTACCTGAAAAACGTTCGCAACTTCTTACCTACATGAAAAGCCTTCGTGCAGATGTGCTCTTTATCCAAGAAACTCATTTCCGAGCAGACCAAGTCCCTAGATTCTCCAATGTTCATTATCCCACGGCATACCATTCGGTTAATACGGAGGTGAAAGCCAAGGGGGTATCCATTTTACTTTCCAAAACTCTTCCGTTTGAACTTTCTGAATCGCTCGAGGATCCTGAGGGAAGATTCCTTTTTCTTAAAGGCACCCTCTTTAATAAACCACTTACCTTAGTCAACATTTATAGTCCCAATACAGCACAAGTAGGATTTTTTCGTAACATAGCTAAGTTACTTGCTACATTTCAATCGGGTATTGTGATTCTAGGCGGCGACTTTAATGTAGCATTGAACCCATTGGAAGATACATCTTCGGGGGTCTCATCCATCCCGTTTCAAGCACTTAAGCAAATTAAAATTGAATTGAAAGACCTTCTCCTACATGATGCATGGCGTACTTTGCACCCTTCGGACAAAGATTACACCTTTTACTCTGCGCCTCACAAACGCCATTCAAGAATTGATTATTTCTTTCTTTCGCAACAAGATTTATACGCCTTGAAGTCAGCCTCGATCGAACCGAAGATCCTTTCAGACCATCACCCGATTATGATCTCTTTGCAATTCCTGGATACACCAAGTACTTCCAAAATATGGCGACTGGACCATTTCTCCTAACGGACGCATCAGTTATTCTTCAGATCCGTAGTTCTTTGACGAACTACTTTCAAGAAAATGCATCCTCGGAAACATCCCCTCTCGTACGGTGGGAAGCGCACAAATGTGTGATACGTGGAATTCTAATATCTATCTCGTCTAAACGGAAACGTATGGCGCAAGCATCATTCAACGCATTATTGCACAAAGTCCGCACACTTGAGTGCTCCCATAAACGATCTATGGCATTAAGATCTTTTACTGAACTGGAGCAAGCACGTAAACAACTCAGCGAGGTAGTGGAAAAGAAATCTAAACGTAATTTTATTCTTCAACAAAAACTTTTCTACGAACATGGAAATAAGAGTGGCAAATTTCTTGCTCGGGCTTTACAATCCAAAAAGGCTGCTCGCGGCACGTATATCAGCTCCATTCCAAAAATGGACGCACACTGAAAACACCGTCGGATATTGCAGCGGAATTTGAGGAGTATTACTTTAATTTATATAATTTATCCCTACCGTCCAAATCAGCAGCTGATACTAGGCCACGTGAGGTCATTATACAGTCATTCCTCACACAATATCTTCCTAAACAGATCTCTAGATCGCAAGCAAAAGATTTAGAGAGTGCTCTGACGTTAGCGGAACTACAACAAGCTATTACGCAGTTGAAACCTGGTAAAAGTCCAGGACCTGACGGTTTTACTAATTCTTATTACAAATCTTTTCTTGACGTATTAGCACTCCCATTTCTCCAGGCTTTCAATTCATTAAACACTCCGGGGCAGTCCATGCGCAATCTTTCCGAGGCTCACATTACGGTTATACCCAAAGAGAATAAGGATCCAACGTCCCCAGCGAACTACCGACCAATTTCCCTATTGAATGTTGATCTGAAGATCTTTGCCAAGATTCTGGCTAATCGTCTACTACATGTTATAGAATCCATCATATCTCCGGATCAGGTGGGTTTTGTTCCGGAAGAGAAGCCAGAGATAACACAATAAGGGCCATAAATATACATCATTGGTTAACCCAAAATCAACAGTCCGGATTCTTTCTCTCTTTAGATGCCGAGAAGGCGTTTGACAGACTAGCTTGGGATTACCTAGAGGCAGTTTTGATTGGCATTGGACTGCCTTTGCGCTTTTTGACCTATATTATGTCTCTATATAAAGCCCCCACAGCGCGAGTGCGAGTGAACGGACACCTATCAGACTCTTTTCTGATCAGCAACGGGACCAGACAGGGATGCCCTCTGTCACCTCTCCTATTCATTCTTACACTGGAACCCTTATTGAATTGCATCAAAGATAATGCCAACATTAAAGGGATTTTGATCAATGGCAAAACGCATAAAGTGGCAGCCTTTGCTGACGACATACTGCTTTTCCTGACAGATCCTCATATCACGATACCTAATTTGTTACAGGATTTCAAATTATTTCAGTATTTGGCTAACTTCAAAATTAACTTTTCTAAATCCCAAGCGCTTAATGTATCATTAAAACCGGAGGTGGTTAAACAAGCGACATCAAATTTTCCCTTTACCTGGCAACGAGAAACTATCACTTATTTAGGTATCCAACTACCATCCCATCTTACCGAACTATATGCAACAAATTTTCTACCCCTCTTACGTAACATTTCCAAAGACCTTCAGATGTGGAATAAACCTTGGTTCTCTTGGTTTGGTAGAGCAGCCATACTTAAGATGAACGTGCTCCCCAGAATATTATATTTACTACAAACAATACCAATTCAATTACCAAATTCATTCTTTCAATCATATAAAACGCTCTGCTCCTCCTTTCTTTGGTATAATAAACGCCCAAGAATCAGCTTCACCCAACTCACTATGTCCAAGAAGAATGGAGGTATTGGATTACCGGATATTTCTCGTTACTACAGGTCTTGCCACCTAGCCAGACTAGTAGACTGGACCACGAATCACATTCATAAGATCTGGGTCGGTTTGGAGGCTGATTTTTTCGAAGATACCACTTTCCACCTCCCCATGGCTGAAAACCGCCCATGTCCCTTCTGAATTTCGGATGCACCCACTTATAGGTCCCACTTTACGATGTAGCGCGCAAGTGTTTTCAGGAAAAAGTACTTTCTTCCTCTCCGAGCCCTTTCACTTTCACCCCTTCACTCCGATCAAATTGAACCCGGACTTTATTCCAGGGATGTCTACGACCTTTCTCGCTGGGTATAGACGGGAAGATAACCTAACAGTACGTCACTTTCTCAAAGATTCTAAGCTCCGATCTAGAGAAGACATTACAAAGGCGTGGCCAGCCCTTACCTTAACGCCTTGGATGTATAGACAAATCCACCATTTTCTACGTAACTCCCCACATCTAAAGGATTATTCAAGACCGCTTACTGCTTTCGAAAAACTCTGCTTTACAGATCTCCCACAGAGGCATGTAATATCCAAATTATATTCCCTATTGGAAAGTTCCAATACATCTCACTCACTGAAGGCCTGTGCAGCCTGGCAGCATGATCTAGAAATTTCAATCTCACCTGAGGCATGGAACCACATTTACGATCACATGCATAAAGGTTCCATATGTGTTTCTACACAAGAAAGCAACTACAAAGTTTTTTCCAGATGGTATAGAGTTCCATCTGTGATTCATAAATTTGATCCTAAAGTGCCAGATTTATGCTGGCGATGCTCCCAGGCAAATGGTACTCTTCTCCATATATGGTGGGAATGCCCGCTGTTGCAGCCCTTCTGGAGACAAATTTTGGACATCATTAGACAAGTAACCACTTACACCCTAGACTTTACACCAGCACAATGTCTACTCCATCACTCCTCCCTTCCGGTGAGGATTTACCGTAAGTCCCTTGCTTTACACATGTTAAATGCGGCTAAGCAGTGTATCCCTGTTCATTGGCGATCAGCTATATTCCCACCGTACGAGAGTGGATTCTTAGGATCCAGAGGATTGCTGAAATGGAGGAACTGATCTCAGTGGCAAAAGATCACCCCGAGCGATTCAGGAGGACTTGGGCTTGTTGGACCCACTTCCAAACTACTGATACTTACCTTGGCTTGCTGAGGGATTGAACGAGAAAGATTTGGAGACACCGAAGGCCTCTAGAACTTTCACCTCGGCAATAACTCCATTAACGGTCATTCACTGAATTGTATCGCTAATTAAAAAGATGAATTAGATACAGCCAGGCTGTTACGAATAGATGTAACTGGTTTGGTTATGCTTATTTAAATATGAACCTGATCATCCAACCACTTCCCCCCCCCCTCTCTTTTTTTTTTTTTTTTTTTTTTTTCTCTCCATCTCTCTCTCCCCATTCCCCCCTTCTATTTGTCATGTGCGTCTCCTCCCACCTCATTTTGATATCTCATCTCATATTCTTCCTCCATCCCCACGCTCCTCTCTTTCTTTTCTTTTCTTTCTCTCATTTACACCCTCTTTTCTCATAGTCTAATTAGCTATTATTCTCATTCGGTACGGAACACCCATAGCTATACAGATGTAACAATATTCTACAACAGTAACCCACATTTTTTTTTTTGAGATGGAAATATATGTCATAGATGCCTTGAGAGGATACTTTTGACGACCACTTCAGAATCCGCTTATGTGTACTTTCCTTACATAGAGCCTAGTGTATACCATAATTATCGAAAGTACATGCTACTGTCAGTTTTGCTATGGTTACGTCTATCACTTTTGCCTTACTGTGGAACTCCGTCCTCTGATGTTATACAAATTAATATATTGTCTTGATCCCGTCTGCGTTACGGGAGAACGTACTAGAAACTTTGCACGGACTGCGATCCGTATCTGTCTATCATTTGTTTACCTTTCATACTTCAATAAAACGTTTTTTTTGGAAAAAAAAAAAAAAAAAAAAAGAAATTTCAAACCTTAATAGTCTGTAGCTCTACCCCTGTAGGAGCCGCTAATTTTAATTGTTTCTTTCAAAGACAACGCTGAGGCTACCAGTCACCCAAGCAACAACAGTCCATTCACTCCTACGCATTGATCAGTCTAGGGGTTGTGTTTTAAAGTGTATTTGCTATTATGACTTGGGAGGGGATTTGGGATGATGTGGGATTCTCAAAAACATCAGGTATTGTTGGTTGAGGACACTTCCCTCACTGTAGCAATAGCACTAGTGTAGGTAGGCTGGATCAGTCTATTGTTCCCAGCTGTGGACCATGAAATAATTTGAGCACAGGTAAAGGCAGACTGGAACAGTCCACAGTTAACAACCAAGGACCATGAAGTAGCTTGAGCACAGAAAGGCAGACTGGAACAGTCTTTGGTTCGAGGCTGAGGACCATGAAGTAGCTTATGTACAGAAAGGAAGGCTGGAACAGTTCACGATTGGGCACCATGAACTAGCATGAGAACACATAAAGAGGCTCTACTCAAAGGATCCTGACACACAATCCATAGGTGAGTCCTCTGGTAAAGTAGTCCAGCATTCAGTCCAAAGGGCTCCAGGGGCAAGCAGCCCCCCCTCCTTCCTCCAAGATCCAAAAAGACAATCTCCACAGGACTCCAGGCTATTTAACAGCATCCCAGCCACCACCTGAGCACACCTCTCCAGGTATTGGCTTGGCCCTGCTCAATATTCAGGCTGGTCATTTGAATGCTCCCTCCTTAAGCTCTTGAAACTTCTTCTAGAGCAGGGGGAGGCAAACAATCTCTATGCCTTTGAAGTCCTGAATGGACCAGACCAAGCAACCACTGCTCCTCTGGTTACAGAAGAAGCCAAAAACTAAACTTACCTAACTAGGAGGGCGCCACACGTCCATATAGTAAAAAGAGAAAGCCAAGCCCACAGACCCCTTCCTGGAGCAGTAGCTGAGTATGAGGTCCGTCTTTGTATATTATATTAGTTTTGTTTCTTCTTTCATTTTCCCAGTGCTGATGTTGACCTTATCCCTACCCCACCCTCTCAACTGCTTGCTACATTTACCCTGGATGCATTACTATATTATCTGTCAATCCTCAGTCACTTTGAATCCATTACTAGCAGCCTCTGTTTGGCTAACTACATACTTTTCTAGGTGCCCCCTTGTGTTTTTTAAAAATTAGAAAAAGGAATTAGATTAAATATTTTGACAAAAATGTGTAGAAAAAGAGGAATTTTGTGATACATTGAATTCTGGGAAATACAATGCATTTTCAGAAACAAAACTTAAGAATCTTAAAAATTTGGAACTGTCTACAGAAATAAATGATAGTTGACAACTTGGACTTCCAATTTGGCACAATGAATATTTTACAAGGCTATATACAGAACAATATCAGTAATAAATACAATTTACAATACAATACCACATTTCCCTAAAGGTGAAGTATAATTGGCATATAAGACAACCAGCAAAGCATGTATGGTCTTTTAGTAGTTATGTATAGTCCAGCTGACTGTTCTTATAAGGGACTAGCAGCAATAATCCCTCAGATAGGTAAAACTCATGGCCCTGTTAGAGAGATCAGCAGGGTGATTTTGATTAATGAGATATCTTCAATAAAGCTTTGAGTGGGATGGGCTTTTTTTATTTAAACCCATGGTGTCTTTTGTTGACTCAGAGGGGGTAAGGGAAAATGATTGTCTTCACCCATGGCCTAATCTATGCTGTGGAAGAACAGTCTATGTTAACTAAATCACATTAGAGAAATCATGAAACAATAGCTCTTGATAAGTGAAACAGGTATTGTTTATACTAAAAGAAAACCATCCTTAACTTGGCCAAAGAACTATATAGTCCAGGGCAGAATAAATGGGGAACTCTATACTTCACACACTGGCCACTGGAGACTGGTTAGGTAGTTACTATTAAATTATAACTAAATGATTTTTTTTTTTAGTTTTGGATAGGGTAGAAGTGAAGGTAAATCTCCCCAATGGGACACAAGTGACAAAAAAGGGCAGAAGTTATAACCCTCCCTTACTCTATTCAAAATAAAAAATTCCTTTAGTTCTACTTTAAATAGGAATTCATGGGCGATTAAAATGTCCATTGTTTCTAGAGACATATACGGTTGTATAAAATAAATCACTTTTAGTAGACTTACAACTGTAAAATTGTATTTTTATGTACATTTACTTGAGGACTATTGCATTCTCACTAGGGATGACCAAGTAACAGCTTGTGTGTGTGTCTTTATTTGAGTGTAATATGGATATAGAGCTGTATGCTGGACTACGATGAATAATTCCAAGTACTATGTAAAATAGGGGGGAGCAAATAATTCAATTAATAAATTAATGTTTACTTTAACAAAACCTCAACCAGAATCCCTTTTGTTATCTGTAATGATACATAAAATATGGCGATGCTCACACATATAAAAGTTACTTGAATATGGCAGTAACATACATATAATAATTAAGCAATAAATAAATAAAAGTGACATTCAAATCAATTGTAAGTAATCATAATCCTGTGTGAATCCTAAAAGAAGCTAGTGTTGTGAAAAAATCCACGGCACCAGTATACACACACTTCTTACCAGAAAGAAGTTTATGGGATTATGGTCACAAATTTATTTATATTATTTATTTAATACAGGTACTTATATAGCATCGTCAATTTATGCAGTGCTTTAAATATACACTATATTGCCAAATGTATTGGGACACCCCTCCAAGTCATTGGATTCAGGTGTTCCAATCACCTCCATGCCCAAAGGTGTAAAGAATCAAGCACCTAGGCATGCAGACTGCTTCTACAAACATTTGCAAAAGAATGGGTCACGCTCAGTGAATTCAAGCGTGGTACTGAGATAGGTTGCCACCTGTGCAATAAGTCCAGCCGTGAAATGTCCTTGCTACTAAATATTCCATGGTCAACTGTTAGTGGTATTATAACAAAGTGGAAATAACTGGGCACAACAGCAACTCAGCCATGAAGTGGTAGGTCATGGAAAAAGACAAAGAGGGGTCAGTGCATACTGAAGTCACCAACTGTCTGCAGAGTCAATAGCGAAAAGACCTCCAAACTTTGTGTGGCCTTCAAATTAGCACCCCAGTGTGTTGAGCTGAGTTTGCATGGCCGTGCAGCTGCATCCAAGCCTTAAATCACCAAGTGCAATTCAAAGTGTCAAATACAGTGGTGTAAAGCATGCCACCACTGGACTCTAGAGCAGTGGAGTCGTGTTCTCTGGAGTGATCACGCTTCTCTAAACTCCCAAACTTACATTCATACGTACATATACTAGGGCCAATTTAGACAATTGATTTGAACATCACTTGTAGAGACTTTATTTTACTTTGTTGGGCTTTATTGGATTTTGTCCTTATCTATATATATGTGGATTGCTTGATTATTATATTAAAGAGACAGTGCACCTTTTTTGAATATTGTCACGTATATTTTGTAATCAGATATTGTTTGAGTGCAGCTGTCATTTCCTTTATACACTCAGCGTGGACTTTTTGTTTGTTTTCTTATTAGTTAGATTCATATAAAAGAAGTAGAAACAAACCTGGACATAGGAGAGCTTGCAATAGAATTGGAGTCTGTGCCGTAACCTCAACGGGCAGCATCAGCAGAGCTCAGTCTGCTAAAATATTCTGCTGACCAGGTTGGAATCTTTTGAAGTCTTCTAGGAAATAACTT